GACTGAAGAAAAATATATAATTAAGTGTTTTTGTGCATTTTATTCAAAGAAAAAAAAAACTTTACAAAGCGTCAAATACACGNGAGAGAGAGAGAGAGAGAGAGAGAGAGATCAAACCATATATTGATGGTATTCAAATTCAGATTAATTTGAACCTCAACTCAACAAAACGTCGCCCCAACGAAACAATGGATGGCACCGCTTGAACTCGAATCGGACGAACTACGCCACGACATTGAATACCTAAAATCCCAGAAAGAAATGGGTGTTGGATACTAGTAATCACCTGCTAATTCAAACCCGAAATTGAACCATAGAGCAGCCAAGGTTGAGATAATTCATTGACCTCTACAGGCTGAATGTTCAAACCTCAACAATAATTATCATTTTTAGCCACCCAAATTACATAATGCTGAGTCGTTGGGACCCATTTCCAAATTTTTTCAGTCCATAGGATTACAATTATGAGACCTAACTCGCAGCAGAAAACAAATTCTGAGACATAAGAAATTGCATATGTACTTTAAGAGTAGGTGGCGGGTAACATCAAAGCTATAATGGAGCACGCAAAGCTTGCATGGTAGTCAAATTGCAAATAAATAATTTATTAGTTAGGCTTGTTAATAGTGGTGGATAAGGTGGATTCATGTTAAAAAATACTCCACTCATTTCAGTTTTATTTTTTAATTCGTGTCTAACAAATCGTATTTTATTAAGTTCTTGTCATGTATAAAATAATTGTATTGTGTATTTTTGTTGATTAACTACACTCATGCGCGATTCATTTATAAATCGTACTATATCAGGTCTACTCATTTACGAAATTAGCTTAAAAAAACTCACTCATAAATTGTACGTGGCAGAAACATTGACACTCAAACTTTTTTTTGGGTACTAAAATAGGGGAGGGCAGGTAGTAATTTATGAACGTAAGCATGAGAGTCTCCCACTATAGAATGTCTAGCTTGAGTCATAATTATTAATCCAGAAAGGTAGTCCGTCACCATAATACCACTAAACCCAAGTAACAAATTGAATTAGTATCGTAAATCGAACCTTACTTACAATCAACATGAGAGTTAAGAACGATTCTAAACTGATACGACTTACCAGTAAACCACCAGCTCGGGTGGTGCGGTGCCAAGTCAAACTTAAAATATCGAGATTCTGTACGCATGAGAACCCTCCAGTTTTTCAATTTGGAACACCCTGCTACGAGAGGAAAAAAGAGAGCACAAACAAAAATTAGCAACTGGGACATCACCGTGGGAGCTTACTCATAAATTCCAAATTAAAGTTGGGGCTACAATATATTATAATGCACTCCTCAGCAGTTTAATTAAATATTTAATCATTCTTTGATATTTTAAGATTGACCTCATAACAAGAAGATTTATTTTAGATCCACCTAATACTAAAATTGTCTCCCCTATTTTTTGTTAGGGCGAGTTGCACTTTTTCATCCAGAAAGATTTACGTGATCTTTCTGTTAGTTTTTGTTACTCATTTCATCAATATCAATGTGCTGATTTTTTATGAAATTAACAATGAAAATTAATAGAAATGTCACATTATAATATTTTTAATACATTGAGGGTAAAATATAAAAAAACTAGTCATAACCCGTGCCTGAAGGTACGATAAAATATAAAATTCGAATGTCCAAAAAATCGATCTCATTATATTAATTTTTTTAAAAATATATTAATTAANAGTCATAACCCGTGCCTGAAGGTACGATAAAATATAAAATTCGAATGTCCAAAAAATCGATCTCATTATATTAATTTTTTTAAAAATATATTAATTAAAAATTAATTAAATATTGAATGATTAAATATATGATAAAAATGAGTGATGTGATATTTTTAAGAAAAAAATATATAAATGATTAAACATATAATAGAAATAAATGATGTAATTTAACGTTTGAGTCTGACAAAAGATTGGTGGGTGAAGTAAATGATTGATAATGATTTTGAAGGGAAAAATATGACTGGGACAAAATTCAAACGCACTCCTGTTTTATAATATAGATATAATTTTTGAGACTATAAAATATAAAATCTTAAATTTTTCACAATACCAAAAAAATTCCCCATTTTTCTTTGAAACAAACTTATCTTATTTCCAAGCTTAATACACACTCCAACAAAATTGTTTTCCTGCCAAACACCTTGCTGTGTCTCTCAACTAGGGACGTAAAAATATGATATGATACGAAATTAGAGGATTTGAATTTTTTTTTAAGTCACTCATTTTGTAAATAAGTGGGCTCAATACAACACAATTAATAAACGAATTAGGTATGAGTAACGCCAATGAAAAAAAATACGACATAACTTGTTTAAATATCGAGTATATATGATTTATACACAACTCACTAAATACGAATTAATAAACGAATCCAATATAAATAGAATATATTTTGATGCAAATCCGCTAAAATCCAACTCGTAAGTACCTACTCTTACTTAACACACATTGAAACAAAATTACTTTCGTGCAAACACCCGTCTTCTTCTCTCTCAACCTACATCAAAATGCAGACCTCACAAACACCACACCTAGAAAGGGGAAAAGAGAATGATGGAGGGTAGAGAAAGTCAAACCAAAAATCATGACTTTTGTCATCGTTCCATGACAATAAAACCCACTAATCCAGTGACTAAGAATCTTTTGTTGCACATAGTATTTCCCAAAAAGAAAAGTCGAACTATTACTTTTGGATCAAACCAAAGCTGGGTGGTCTAGAGGTTCTGCCCAGTGGAGGGGGTTGCAGGAGGTGTGTACAGTTGGGAAAGAGCTCCGGTGCAGGCCGAGGGTGACTCTTCCTCTCGTTTTATAGTTTTTTGATCTTCATCAATTTTGACCAAAGTTTGAATCAAACGTGATAATCTTAACTCATTACTTAGTAATCTGTCCGATCCATTTATAAATTAATAGGTTGGGTACCTATATTAATTAATACGGGTTATAAATGAGTTAAATAATATGATTCATTTTAATTAAGCGGGTTAATAAATGAGTGTTCATTGAGTTGAGTATTTATCTTTTTATTAAATAACACAAGTAACAAAATTAAATAAATATATTAATATATCAAAAAATATACATCTATATAATAAAACAGAAGTGTATTTGAATTTTATTTCAGTCATATTTTTCCTCTTAAAACCATCATCAATCACTTATCTCACTCATCATCTTTTTGTCAAACTCAAACGTCAAATTGCATCACTTATTTCTATCATATGTTTAATCATTTATATATTTATTCTCTAAAAATATCACATCACTTATTTTTATTATATATTTAATTATTTAATATTTGATTAATTTTAAGTTAATATATTTTGAAAAAAGTTAATATAATAAATCAATTTTTTAGACGCTTGAATTTTATATTTTATTGTGCCTTCAGGCACGGGTTATGACTAGTACACACTATTACATCAAAAAATACACATATATACTAATACACTAAAACATATACACACTAGCATATAAAAACACACACACAATAATACACCACCCATGACATGCGGGTTGACCCATGACCCATGACATGCATCCATGACCCCACGGGTTGACCCACAGACCAACTCAGTCCACAATCGACCCGGCCCATTATGTGTGTATTTTTTTTATTAAATGTGTTTTAATTTTTATGTTAGTATATGTGTGTGTATTTTTGGTTTATTATTATGTATTTTAGTGTATTAATGTGTATATTTTTAGTGTATTAGTTTTTGTGTGTTTTAGTGTATTAGTGTGTCTGTGTGTGTATATATTTGTATTTTGGTGTTCTACTAATGTGTGTGTGTATATTGGTGTACTAATGTGTTTATTAAAAATTTTAATTATTTTATTGGTTAATAGATTTAACACAACCCGTTATAACTCATTTACTACGTGAGTTCAAAATGAATTGAATTTATTTTAGTTCAACTCAATCCACCAATTTGCCACTTCTAGTTTGAATGGTTTAATTTCGAGGGATAAATTAGTCATTTAATTAATGAAAATCTTCTATTGAAAATTTCAATTATTTAATTAATGTGATATGTGCGTGGGCGTTTTGGTGTAATAATTGTTAAATTAAAAAAAAAATCAATCATTTCAAAAATGTCAAAGCATGATTAAATAATAAATCCGGACTTAGATCCCCTCAATTATCAATTCCCTTCCATTCTTTTAATATAGTGATAGATAAGTGACATGTGTAAAATTTAAATTTTAACGGACAAGATATTTTCTTATTTATTTTGTTATTAGTGGAGTATCAACCATGGTTAAAAAATTTTGTTACAAGAAAAAAATCTTTTTTATTGAGATTTAAAATCTTACACATATTATCTATCTAACATTGTATTAAAAGGAATTGAAGAAAAAGAGTAATAGAAAAGATCTGAAACAATATGATTTGTCCATATGTAGATGGAAAAAATAATCCTTATAATTAAGGGTTTTAATATCACTAAAGAGGAAAAAATGACCTGAAATAAAGAACTCTCTAATTGATGAGTAAAATCTGCACTCCAAAAGAAAATAAAAAATATTCGACTCCAACTACAGCGACAAATCTAGACACACAAATTTAACGTGAAATTAAAATTTTGAATTTAAGTTTAACATATTTAGATAATAAATAGATAGATTCATTAAACTCATCAAATAAATAGATTAGTTTGATTCCGACTTAAACATAAGACGGACGCGTTAAATATAATTCATACATGATATGAACTTAATATATATATTAAATAAATTTTTAACAGAAATTAATTATGACACAACCCTTAAATTTTTGTCATGCTTGTAAGGTCTTATGGTCACGAGTTCTTCTTACCCACACTGGATAGTAGCCACTGCAAAATAATGCAGTTGGGTCCCACAGGGGTCCCACGCCCTTGACATTTTGAGTTAGCCGTTGCAGCAGCCATATAAAGTGAAGTTCTTTGAAAAGAAAGAAAGAAGGCCCGTCTCTCTCTCTCTCTCTCTCTCTCTCTCTCTCTCCGGCATGGCAGATTTCTCGTATCTGTCAGACAGCGACGATGAAAAAGCAGTGCAAGAGCTTCTCTCTCAGGCAATGGACCACTCTGTTCTTGAACAAGTTGCAAAAATAAACTGCTCTGGTTTCACTGACTCGGATCTTCCAACTCACCTAGAAACCCGGTTCCAAAAGCTCAAATCCTTCCCAGCCACAAAACCCAAGTCTCCAAATCTCACCACTGACCCAAAGAATTTAGCCTCTTCAAGCTTCAATTCAAAGCTTTCTTCTCACAAATCGTTAAAACCCCAATTGGACAACGAGTTGAAGAACTCAATTCGAGCGAAAACTGAGTCAGACTCGCTCTCCGACGATGAAAATGTGTTTCAAGAGGAAGACCCAAAAGAGAAAAAGCGTTTGAATCCAAAACTACAATCAGGGTTTGATTTTTCGCCTTCAAAATCATCAAATTCATCAAGGGAAAGTGCCATTTTCTCCCCTTCCAAACAAAACCCAGATGGTAAGTCAGGCTCGAAATCCAAATCCCAATCTGGGTCAGCTCTATCTCGATCTGATTCTTGGGATATCTCATTGGATTCTCTATCTCCGCCACAGAAAACCGGCTGTTTTCTCTGTTCTCCGAAAAGGGTTTCTAGGAAAAAGAGCAAAGAAAACAGAATTGGGGGTGCAAGTCTTGATTGGGGAAAGAATTGGACAAAGAACGATGAGTTTTTATCAGATTTGAGTACTTTTTCGACGAAAGAGCAACAAAAGATGCTGAAGAAGGCCATGAAAGAGGAAGAGAAGATTAGTCGTGAAGCAGAGAAAATTGTCAAGTGGGCGAAACAAGCGTCGGCGAGGATGGATGTTTTGGGAATTGAAGATGAACTAAGTGACCATGAGAGCAAGAAGTGAATCAGCTTCATACCCTGATACAATTTGCTACAGAGACTTAATTCGTGATCTAATCAACGGACTTAATTCAATCTAGGGATTGAATTAGTGGTGAATTTCGATGTTTAACGAGTTCACTTTCAATCCAATTGATTAGGTATCGCGATTACATCTCTTAATTAGGTCCGAATAATATTTTCTCGGTCATAATAGTTGTTGATATGTTTCTATGATTCTTCTTTGTTTTCAATTCTAGAATATGCAGTGTAATTTGTGGAGGGTATGGTTTTCTCAAAATGTTAATATACAAGGAAATATACGCAGTTGTGATTTATTAGGTTTTTTGGTAGTAAATATAATATATTAGGTATAACTAGTGCCTAAAAATACGGTATAATTTAATAAACTTATTGAAAATTATCTTATTTTATATTATAGACATTAATGACTCATGTGCAATAATTTATGGGTGCAATAGTAATAAAGATTTATTGTGATCCGATTCAAATTACATATATCTATATAATAAAGTATGATACAATTCAAATTTCAAAAGATAAACAAAATAATTTTTATTTTTTGCGGTCCAGATCATTTTAAATTTTATTTTAAAGTTAATCTAACGGCTAATATTAACTTCTCAAATTTACTAGCGATAAATAGGCTCCCTAAATGTATGTGTGAGGTGATTTTTTAAAAATGATTTTAATAAATACTTTAAAAAAAATAGTGTTTGGAATGATCCTATGACCACCACCACAACTGCCCCACCACAACCACTATCGCCACCACCATCGTTACCGTCATCATACCATCACTTTCATTGTCACCGCCACCACCAGCATCTCCCCATCACCACCACCACTGCCCCACCATTACCATCATAACGCTGCCACCACCGTTGCCACCACCCTACCACCATCGCCTCCACTCAACTACCACCATCACCACTATTGCCACCGCTACCACCACCCCACCACTATCACCACTACCACCACCATCACTGTCACCCCACTACCATCTATGCCACAACTACCACCACCATCACTACCATCGCCACTACCCATCACTCACCACGATCGTTGTCACCCACCACCAATTGCTACCACCGTAGCTCATAGCTACCACCCACCACCATCATCATCTCATTCTTATATTTATTATCACTACCACCATTATCCCACCACCACAGTCGCCCACCATTACCGTCCATTGCCACCCCCTACCATAAACCACCATCACTTGTTGCCCACCACCACCCACCACTATCGTCGTCACACCACCACCCACTACCATAACTCACCATCACCCACCACCGTCACTACCCCACCACCACCACTACAAACAACTATCATCGTCGCTCACCACCATTATTATTGTCACCTACAGCTGTCGCCACCACCACTGTCGTCCATCACCATTACCACCACTCACCCCTACCACAATTTGTTTTTAAATTCTTTTCTCTGTCTTCTATCTTTGTAATTTAATTTTAAATGTGAATACAAATATATTTATTGTTAATCATTTTTATTATTTCGTGCCTCCAGACATGAAAAATAACTAATATATATATATATATATATACACATGATGGCATTGGATGATATTGTAATGATATTGGCTTGAAGTATATGTAATTTGTTCAAATTCAATTGTAATTGAGTTATTTGAAGTGGATTAGATATTCAACTTTTTACAATTGTATATGGACTAAAAAAATATATTCCTTTAGATATTTTGGATAAAACATTTGTTAGAGTCTGCCGCTACAAATTTATAAGAACGCCAAGAAAATAAGACATCCCACTAACACGAATACTAAATGTCACGTGCCTAATAACAATCTATCTACTTGTTGACTTGTAGACTTACTTAAGTCTGCCAATTGTATAGGTTGAAACAAGTTTATGTCAAATTTAACGGGTTTGTGTTAAAAAAAAAATATTCCACTCATATTTCATTTGTTTATTAATACATGTCCCAATAATCATGTCATATTAAGTGTGTTTCATTTATCAATTATTTATAATCAATATATAAACGAGTCATATCTTGTATTTTTTGATTAATTTTACTCATATCTAATTTATTTATAAATTATGTCGTGTTTGATCCTCACCTAATTCACACCATTGCATTTACTATTAACCTCATTAAATATTAAAATTTGGTATTAATTCAATGGTTACACTAAAATTATATCATTAAATTAATAAATTAAATCAAAATTTTTAGATCTAAATGACATTACTCTAATAAATATCACTAATCCAGCCCCCATTAATGATTCATAATCTCATACTCAATTTGACTGAGCATTCCAAGGGTTAAAAATCTTAAAAACAGACCCCTTATTAGAATAGCTCTCCTAAGCTTTTCCTTGTGAAAATAACTCTGAAATAGCAAATTACCCACCTACTCACAATAGCAAAACATATATAATTATCATGACAATTGAAATCCATTACCAACTATAGATACTCCCATCCAAACAGGACCTCAATAACAGATCNGCCACCACCACTGTCGTCCATCACCATTACCACCACTCACCCCTACCACAATTTGTTTTTAAATTCTTTTCTCTGTCTTCTATCTTTGTAATTTAATTTTAAATGTGAATACAAATATATTTATTGTTAATCATTTTTATTATTTCGTGCCTCCAGACATGAAAAATAACTAATATATATATATATATATATACACATGATGGCATTGGATGATATTGTAATGATATTGGCTTGAAGTATATGTAATTTGTTCAAATTCAATTGTAATTGAGTTATTTGAAGTGGATTAGATATTCAACTTTTTACAATTGTATATGGACTAAAAAAATATATTCCTTTAGATATTTTGGATAAAACATTTGTTAGAGTCTGCCGCTACAAATTTATAAGAACGCCAAGAAAATAAGACATCCCACTAACACGAATACTAAATGTCACGTGCCTAATAACAATCTATCTACTTGTTGACTTGTAGACTTACTTAAGTCTGCCAATTGTATAGGTTGAAACAAGTTTATGTCAAATTTAACGGGTTTGTGTTAAAAAAAAAATATTCCACTCATATTTCATTTGTTTATTAATACATGTCCCAATAATCATGTCATATTAAGTGTGTTTCATTTATCAATTATTTATAATCAATATATAAACGAGTCATATCTTGTATTTTTTGATTAATTTTACTCATATCTAATTTATTTATAAATTATGTCGTGTTTGATCCTCACCTAATTCACACCATTGCATTTACTATTAACCTCATTAAATATTAAAATTTGGTATTAATTCAATGGTTACACTAAAATTATATCATTAAATTAATAAATTAAATCAAAATTTTTAGATCTAAATGACATTACTCTAATAAATATCACTAATCCAGCCCCCATTAATGATTCATAATCTCATACTCAATTTGACTGAGCATTCCAAGGGTTAAAAATCTTAAAAACAGACCCCTTATTAGAATAGCTCTCCTAAACTTTTCCTTGTGAAAATAACTCTGAAATAGCAAATTACCCACCTACTCACAATAGCAAAACATATATAATTATCATGACAATTGAAATCCATTACCAACTATAGATACTCCCATCCAAACAGGACCTCAATAACAGATCAATGGAAGCCAATTACCAGTAGGTAACCATTTGAGCATCAATCAAACAAGAAAATATTCGGTATAACAATTACACAATATTAATAGTATCACTCGATATAACCATCTATTAAATAGACAAGTGAGCCCCACGATTTTTTTCTTTTATTAACTGTAACTCCACAAAAATCAATCACCACATAATCACATTCTTGTTAAAAAAAAAAGAGGGGTCCACTTTATTTTGAATGACATTAATTACCCAAAAAATATGAGCAATGCTACGTGGATTTAAAAATTAAATTTAATAATCTCAATCATTTAATTTTACTGTGGGTCCCAACATTTATTGAGACCACTATCTATTCGATGATTAAGATTATCAAGTCTAATTTTTAAGTCTATCTAGTATTAATCAAAAAATATCTCCGAGTTCAACACCAAGTATCACCATAGTCGCATATTATGCTAAGACCTGCGATTGATTGCCTCCCGAATTGACTAAAAGGCCCACCCTTACACAGAGATCAGAAGCTAAAATCTACGGGCTTCAAGGTAAAAACAATCCTCTGCAACTTCTCTTCACCTTNTTCATTTATCAATTATTTATAATCAATATATAAACGAGTCATATCTTGTATTTTTTGATTAATTTTACTCATATCTAATTTATTTATAAATTATGTCGTGTTTGATCCTCACCTAATTCACACCATTGCATTTACTATTAACCTCATTAAATATTAAAATTTGGTATTAATTCAATGGTTACACTAAAATTATATCATTAAATTAATAAATTAAATCAAAATTTTTAGATCTAAATGACATTACTCTAATAAATATCACTAATCCAGCCCCCATTAATGATTCATAATCTCATACTCAATTTGACTGAGCATTCCAAGGGTTAAAAATCTTAAAAACAGACCCCTTATTAGAATAGCTCTCCTAAGCTTTTCCTTGTGAAAATAACTCTGAAATAGCAAATTACCCACCTACTCACAATAGCAAAACATATATAATTATCATGACAATTGAAATCCATTACCAACTATAGATACTCCCATCCAAACAGGACCTCAATAACAGATCAATGGAAGCCAATTACCAGTAGGTAACCATTTGAGCATCAATCAAACAAGAAAATATTCGGTATAACAATTACACAATATTAATAGTATCACTCGATATAACCATCTATTAAATAGACAAGTGAGCCCCAAGATTTTTTTCTTTTATTAACTGTAACTCCACAAAAATCAATCACCACATAATCACATTCTTGTTAAAAAAAAAAGAGGGGTCCACTTTATTTTGAATGACATTAATGTTTAACACCCAAAAAATATGAGCAATGCTACGTGGATTTAAAAACTAGACTTAATAATCTCAACCATTTAATT